CCCCACCCTTCTCTCCAGGGAACCAAGAGATTTAGTGGCAGCACCAGTGACAGAATATCTGGCGGCCTGGCTCCTGGTGCCGGTGCCTCCCCCTCCCCCAGTCGCCATCCGAGCCCTGGCTTCTCTAGTCAGTTTTCTGCATAGCAGCAGAGGGTGTGCTCAGCAGCTCTGCCCAATGACAGATGGACCTGCAGCAGCCCCTGATGAGGCCGCAGCCTGTGATTCAGACTTCAGAGCACGTTTGGAGGGTACTGCTTCTCAGCTGACAGCGACAGCATTAGATTTTGTATTTTGTTAGTGATGGACACTCTGTGGTCACTTTTCAGATTAATTAGTTCTCGTGTCTACAGAACTCTCTTCCGGACTATCCTGTATATTTTTACCCCTCTCTCTCCTCTCATCCATCTCCTTATTCGTTCTTGTGAATAACTTCAGATTTCACTGGATTTTGACGTAAAATCCTCTCTCTAATCTGGTGGACAATAGGGCTTAATTGTGAATCCCTTTGGGAGGGTTCTGTTTAGTAATAGATGAGGCTACTCAAAGGAAGCCCCTTAGCCTGTCCAGGGGTAAATGAGGGTCGTCAGCTGGCCTATATATCCTATAGACATTCCATTCAGTCCTCAGGTCCCCAGATTCAGGCCCCCTTGGTATGGTCATGGGTGCAATCAGACTATTCTTTCCAGAGCCTAGGACCCTGAACCAGGAACATGTCTGGTGACTCTTATGGTCCTATTACATCCAGGTGATCATATCTACGTGCATACTGATTTTGCAAAGCACATAGACCTGTTGTTCATGGTGACCAAGATATTTATAACATAAGAACTAAACAAGAGCTCTAGGGTTTGATGAAAGTGCCCCAGAGGTTGCTGCAAGTGTGGAGAGAGGCAAGCTGGAGCCTCTGAACCCCAATTCAATGCAAGAAACTCTCTGCTTTATGAGTTTTGTATCGTGGTTTTGTGCTGGATATTCTGTTTACCTGTTTAAATCCTTTCTCTCTGCCCTTCTGCATCTTGCTCTTTGCCCCTAGGAAGCTGACTTCTATGGACTGTGTCTTTTGGGTTCCCTTGCCCTCTAGGTTTCCACTGGGCTAAGCCAATGGGAGAAGCAGCAGGAGGCTGAGGACAGAAGGAGAGAGAAGCAGAAGTATTTATTCTCCTTGACTCCTTCCCTTCTAGGCTGTGGTTTGGAAATGGCTACATTCCTTTACCAAAGTCCTCAGCTCCTGTCTGATGGCCCCTCCTATAGCCACAGTTCTTGCCTGGTTCTGGTAACCACTCTGTCTACTCCCTTGCCCCTTCAGGCCTAGGGGTGGCCATGCCATCCCACTGTGGCCAGTCCTGTGGTACTTTTCACTTTCTTTGCAGCTTTCCTTTTAACCTACCCCATTTTTGTGAATCATCCCTTCATTAAACCCTCTTCATTCATCCTTTTTGAGTTTCCTATCTGTGTTTGAATCTTCTATGCTAGGACTGTGACTGATTCAATCTTCTGTTGTAAGATGTTGTTTAGCAAAGGAGGCCACTGCTAAATAGAGTTTGGAAGATCACAACACTAGATCAATCAGAAGCATTATAAGAACAAATGCACATTCTTTGTGAGTGTGAATTACCTTAAAAAAGCATTAACTTAGAGATTTTTAGCATACATTCTAAAGTTTATATTGAGGAATACATTAAATTCAGTATTAAATTTAGTTACTAAATAGAGGCCGAAATGACTCTGGAATCAGACAGGTTTGAATCCAGACTCTGACACGTAGCATCTGTGTGATTTTGAGAAAGTTATTTAACCTCCCTATGCCTCAGTTTTCTCATCTGTAGAATGAAGGGCAGTTCACCAACAACATGGGTTTGAACTGCGTGAGTCCCCCTTACACATGAATTATTTTCAATAATACTGTAAATGTATTTTCCTTATGATTTTTTCATAACATTTTCTTTTCTCTAGCCTACTTTATTGTAAGAATATAGTATACAGTGAGCGTCTCCATTGCCAACCATGAGCGAGCTGTCTGCACAAGGACGACTTTGGCGCTCGCTCCAATTGTCGCTGTGCCAGCGTGTCATGAGGCCGTTTCATACCAACCTGCCTACTGGAATCCCCAGTAGTAAAGTGAAATACTCAAGGCTCTCCAGCATAGATGATGGCTACACTGACCTTGAGTTTAAGAAAAGCCCTCCTGAG